TGAACAAACTTCTAAGACAGGTCAGCTTCTTTTCGTGGATAACGGCCCTCTTCACCTACATTCTTTCAATGCTGAGTTAAACTGGATGACTGATTAGCTATTGGTGCTGGGCCCATAACCCTGTTGACAGTGGTGAAAGCATGTTTTGCTTCCCTTAAATAAAGCTAAGACTAAACTAAATAAAATTCTTGCTTTATTCCGTAAATAAAATAAAAAAGCTAACACTGTAGCCTTTACATTTAAAATCATTAAGTGAAAGAAAACTAGCATTAATGCTAACTCATAACAACACAAGAGAACAATAAGAACAAGATTTCGCCGATACCGACGTACATATATATTATTACATATATATTATACTCGGCCAACCCGCTGATCTTGACGTCATCGGCCAATCATCGGCAACCACATTAGCTTACCGCCGATCGACCTCCGATCAAAATTTGCATGTGGAAAACTAAAGCCAACAGCGGGAACGCCGCGGTGCGCAATGAATTGGAAGTTGATCTGTCAGCTCTATCCTTATCTTCAGGGCAGATGTTTTTATTTTATTTGGCTTATAATTCCTTACTAAACGTAGTATTTCATCTCGATGTACTCTGTCTTTGATATGATTTAAATCAAATTCCTCGTCATTATAATTCACTTCCAATAGCGAAGAAAGTAAAGTAAACAAATAAATATTAAGCTTTTTTTTTTTTGTAAATTTTGATACCCTTTAAATCATAATTGTTCTTTATTTCATAAATTACGGTTTCATATTTTTAATTTTATAATTTCTGCATGCCATCTTACCAGATTTAAACTGATGATCTATAATCCGGAAAAATCGATAATCCAGAATCGTCGAAGTCCCGATGAGTCCGGATTAACGACTTTTGACTGGATTAACGACTTTTATATATATATATAAAAGGGCTGTTAAATAAAACTATGCTATCAATTAAAGTATTTGTAGGTGCAATGTGAAATGATGCAAGTGAAGGAAAAGCATATATTTTCAAAACTGGCTCAGTGGCTTAAGAATACTGTTTGTAAGACTACAATGATTTATTTACTATTGGGCAGAGGAACTGATGTTGACTAAATGGCGAAAGAAGCACCTTATTTTATGAAAGTTCAACTGTTGACTAGAACAGTTTTATCAAAGAGGTGTATTCTGTACTTTTAATATGACAACCAAAATAGGAGGCCCTGAAAAAGTTGTGGATATAAATGAAAATCTATTTGTATTAGGGGGGCGAACTGACATACATTTTCCTCAGCACTGCTTATTTGGAAGATTATGCCAAAAAACTGGTGCATTCTTTCTCGCTCAGGTTCCAAATAAAGGGACAATCACACTTGTACCAAAAATTGTCAACCGTGAACTAGAGGGATCGATGATCTATTGAGGCTGTTGGTGAGCATATAAAACAGAGAGATTGTGAAAAGCATTTAGCAACATTTTACTTTGAACCATAAATTTCATTTTATTGATCCAGCAATAGCTGCTCATATACAAAATGTTAAAAGATTGTCACTAAGTGGCAGAATAAAAGTCAATGAGAAATGGTTTGCCATTTTCATGAGTCTTACGTTGCATGAGTTCATATGGTAAAAACCCTTAGGATGAAAAAATGCTTCCAATGTCATGTCAGGCAATTGTGAACAAAATGTATGTGATAAGTAAACATGGAATTGCTGATAATCCTGGTGTATGCCATAATAATAAGGAACTGACACTTAAAATGACTTGTGATTTATCTGACAATGTTCTCTGGATATGAAAAAAATTTCACTTTACCCGTATTATTGTAAATAGTCACTTTCCCTCACTTTAGCATGAAATGGATAAGTTAAATACATTAATCATTCAGAATTAATTAAGTTAAGAGAAATAAATACAAATTTTTACTTATTATTGGCATATATTTAAAATTTTTTTGAAAACTGCGTTTCTTATCATAACTTCACATCAGTTGTAAATATAAAATGAATTAGCAGTGTCTTATGAAAATGTCATAAGACTGTTATTTCTACTAGAAAATTAGAACTTGCTTTAAGTATGCAAATATTAACTTAGACTTTTTTAAGATATGCATTTTTTTTGTGAAAATGGTTTTCAAAATATAAAAACATGCGCAGAATCTGAATATTGTTAAATGATAATATGTGTGCAAAATAGTAATTTATGGGCATTTGACTTTTTATTGCAGATAAATTGCCTAAAATTATATGTACAAAAATTTATAAAATTATAAAATTATGATTTATGTACATTTACCTTTATGACTATAGATAACTGGTATAAAAATGTTATATATAAAATATTAAAAGATGAATAAAGAAATAATTAGGTCAAACAGGCTGCAGGAATGCCTTTCTGTGGCTTTCTTTTTAATCAAGATTTCAAATTAATGTGTTTCTAATTGATAAAAATTATTAAATCACGGTAGATTATAAAAATTTTTTGTTTTATATGCTGCTGAATTATGAATTTAGATAAGTCTCCATCAGCATCCAGGGCAATAAAGCATCTTGTTATGGTTATTATTATTCCAGATCTAATATAATAATTAATCTTTATGTGTATTGTTTTTTATTTTCTTTTGGCAAATTATGAACATGAGCTTGTTTTATCAAGTGAACTGGGTTTTCTAATCTAGCAGATACAAAGTCAAAACATTGTGTACTTCAAAACGCCAGTTTGGGAGTCTTTGAATTAAAGATGACATTTAATGCAATGTATTTTGTTAGCAATAGCTTTTATTAAAGTTTGACAAGTTGTCACATAGACTGGTGGATCAAATGACATTTTAAATGGTTGATAATAAATCCTTGTGTTTGCTCCAAAACTATGGGAAATGTTTCAATTATTTTTCTTTATTAATGATGTAATAATTTCTAGATAATACGAATATATATTTTATCATAAAAATGTATTGAGCCATTTTAAATAATAAATAACTGATTATGATTTTAAACATAATTTTGTTTTAAAATTATTTATTTTAATTTGTGATCTTTTTTTTTTTAGTCCAAAGGGGCAATTTGCCCAGAAGAACTATTAATTTTGTTTTGGCATTTTGCATTGATTCACTGCAAGTATTGTTTCACTTTTCAAATTGTTGCCACCAAATATTATCGCCCTGTATCATATTTAAATAATGAAGAATCTGCATAAATGTATGCATTGTGATAAAACAATGGTACCTAGAGCCATCAAATTTTGAGTAATGTAATCCTCCTGCAAATATGGGCATCTATTTGCCCAAATTTGAAATTTGGAATTTGTTTTATTATTGATTTTTTATTTTATAAAACGTTAACGAATTTTTAATTAACAAACTAAAGGATTTCAAAGCTAGCAATGGCAGTGCTGTACAGGAAAAACATTTTTATCTCCAGCGTGTGAGACTGTATCAGAAGTTCTAAAGATATGCTCATTTTAAAATTATTTTGCGATATTGCTCTTGAACTGAATTTTATGGTTTAAGTGCGAAGAACATGATATTTAATAAAAATAAAGGTAACACACAAAATATTAGAAAAATGCTCCTGTGGATGTATTTTAAAATCTGAAACCAGAATTTTTTTACTTTCTTGTACGAAGTAAAAAGGAAGTATTGTAATCGCGAAAAGTTTCAGGCAGCATATTTCAATGAAAATATCCATTTTGACCGCTTTCGAATGCAATTTAACAATGTTTTTACATGATATTTGTATGTAAGGACAGAATAAAATACTCTTTTCCTTCAAAAAAGTTATAAAACTGCTTTAAAATTAATTCTGAAGAGAATTTTTCGTGGCGTCTGTACGAACGTATGTACGTACCTCGCATAACTGAAAAACGAGTAGCCTCAGAACGTTGAAATTTTGTATATAGGACTGCTATAACATGTAGATGTTCACCTCGTATTTTGGTTGCACTCGGCTGCATCAAACGTATATAAATATATTTATATATATATCCACTCTGTTACCCGGCTCAGTGATCTCAGTTTCTTTACTCTTATATGTTTGTAAATTGTACATTTTTTGCTTTAAAAATAATTGTATTATGTTGTTTTTATCTTCCGGTTAAGATTTTTATGCCTTTAGTAAATCTGTATGCAATATTTTTAGAATTATCAACAATTTTAAAGTTGTCTAAGTGCCGCTAAGCCTTTTTTTTATGGCGGCCATTGATGTTTACATTTGAAACAGGAGACTAGTGGATTTGTTGCCAATCTAGAGAAACTTAACTTCGCAACAACAAAGACAACGCATTCATTTATTATTGCCAATTAAATCATGCTTAATTCTTTCTAGAATTTTTTCGAGGAAATAAGTGTTTAAGATTTACTTCGTAATTTTTAATATAGATATTTTGAGTTTTTATGTATTTTTGCCTTCTCGCGAAGTCAGAACTGAGTTAATTAACTGAGAAATACTCAATCGTCTGTGAAAAACTGTTTCTTTTTTGTTTTGTTTTCTTAATTTCTTTTATACATCATTCTAGCTTTATTATAGTATTTGAATAGAACATGTGACAACGATTAGATAATTCTATTCTTTAAATGATATAAATTTTGTGCATTATGAGTTATAATATGAAAGAAATACATAAGTTAACTGTTATATAATTTTTGGTATATAATTATTATATAAGTTAACTGTTATATAATTATTAATACTGTTAAGTGAATCTAGCGCTAGAGTGTCGCTATGGTAAACAAATACTAGAGTGAATTTTAAAGAATGCATTTATTCTATTGTGGTTTATGCGCTGTCGGCGAAGTAGATTTAATTCAATCCAATAAGTTTAAATGAAATGCAAGAAAAAATGCGTATAATTTAATATTCCGTACAAGGAAGTCATGTGGTGTACACATCAGAATTTTTTTTGTATGTATTAGTATTTTCTTAAACTGTTCTTGTTTGCTTCAGTTTTAATTTAAAAAAATTTTAAGCAAAAGTAATTTATTCTTAATTATTATGTATTTTTTATGAGATTTATGACATCTTTTATATGTTAGGAATGTGAAGAAATTTTGAAAAATATTGAGAGTGCAGAGTTGCAAGCTCGACGCCAAATGGCAAAAAATGTGACTGAGAAAGGGGTATGTTTTTGATTTTATATCTGCACAAGTATAAAGCAACATTGCATTATAGTAGAGACAGTAATAATTTGATATTTTATACAAATGAAAAGCATTCTAATTTCTGTTGTACAAAATACCTGCATTGTATAGAATAATAAAATAGGTTGTGGTGCAAGAATCATGCTTATGACTCTCACATGGGGGAAAAAAACACTTTTTGAAAATTTGTAATCAAATATTATTACAGCAATGCATCATCTATATATATATATATTTCTTATAAACTTGCAAAGTATAGATATTTGTGGTGTCCAGCATATGTTGTGGTATGTTTCATTTTTTCACTTATGCCTTTCTGAGCTTATGAAAAGGTCTACAATGCAGTTATAATCTTTTAACAGATCTATCAAGTACAACTGTAGCCTACTGAATTGGATTTAAATTTAATTAGTGGAATGGAGCTAAACACTACAGATGCTTGCCATTCATTTTTTCCAGGTATTCATCTATTGGATTTGATCTTTGTGGCTGAAGTCATTCTCCATGGAAAAGTATCTGGCCTTTCTAGGTATTTATGGAAACACAAGTGTAATTAATGTCATAGGAGCTTTAAATTTAGTTGATTATGGCAAAACACGCAAAGGCTATTTACTTAAAAGAGATGCCTAGATAATAGACTTTCTAAGGGAAATTATTTGTGTTAACATTACACATGGGGTAAACCACAATGAGATACATCAAAGAGCCATTCTGTTATAATCACCCTATTAATAACATGTAGGACCATCTTTGGCCCTCAAAACTGCCAGCACACGGTATGACATTGAATCCACAAGGTGCTGATACGTTGTCTGAGGTATCTGGTACCAAGTGCTTATCAACTGATCCTTCAATTTCTCACACATTGCGAGGAAGTAGTGTGGCAGCACGAACTTGGTTTTCCAGGTGGGACCACAAATGTTCTATTGGATTAATGTCAGGTGAATTTGAAGGTCAAGACATGACTTGAAAGTTATTGGAATGTTCCTCGAACCACTCCCTGATGATTTGACCCTCATGACTTGGTGCAATATCCTGTTAATAAACACCATCCCCAGCTGGAAATACTGTTGTCATGAATGGGTGAACCTGGTCTGCAAAGATGTTCATGTAGCACACAGATTGTTCAAGGATTGTTCTAAGGGATTGTTCTAAGGGGATTATGGGTCCTAATGTGCTCCATGAAAACATTGCCCACACCATAATACCATCTCATCCAACTGTGCATCCGGGAGCCAGGGTTTCATTTGGAAATCGGTGTATTAACACACGCCCGTGGATGTGATGGACCAGAAAATGTGATTCATTGGACCATGCAGCTTTTTTCCAGTCTTTTAATGTCCAATTCCGATGTTTCTTGGTCCATTGCAGATGCAGCTGGCAATAATGTGCAATCAGTGTAGGGACATGCGTGCGCCTCTGGCTGCGTAAGCCCATACGCAGCAATGCATATTGCTGCCCATATGTGCATTGCTGCATATGAGCCAATTCAGTAAGCCCATATGCTGCAGTGCATGCCGCACACTGTGTTGAGATATACTGTCTGGGTTGCCACTGTTGTAGCTGATGGTGATTTCGGCTGTTGTAGCTCTTCGGTCATGGTGAAAAATGCATAGGAATCTCCACTTTTCTCTGGAATCAGTGTGCCATCGACGACACACTGCTGCCCTGCGCCTTATTTCACCATCCATACACCACTTTCGATAAGTGCTTATAACAACTGCACGTGAACAGCCCACTAAACACGGCGTTTCTGATATTGATGTTCCCGGTCACTGAGCAGTAATGATTTGATCTTTATTGAAGTCTGATAAATCAGTTGCTGTTCCCATAATGTTGCAAATTGTGCTATTATGTTTGGAAAGACAATGTGTAGCCACTTTATATACTCCAATATCAGCCACTCATGCCCACTGGTTTTGTTCCTGGGCTAGCCCATTGTTATAAACGGTGGGTGGTCATAATGTAATGGCTGTCAGTGTATATGCAGCTAGCTTTTTTTGTTGGGCTTTGAATCTGCTGCTAGGAAGTCAGCCAGAGCATTTCTTTCCCTCACTAGTTGGTGCTAGTGGCTCCAAGAGCAAGCAGAATTTAACTTTTTTTGTTGGCATGCTTACCCAGAGTTCAGTTTTGAATTTTTTTCTTTCTGATATAAGAATGTAGGAAATGCCAGTTTAGCCTCTTTGTTCCTTTTTAGTTTTACAGCCACCAGACAATACAATGAAATAGAGAATGAGTACGGTATCTCCTGCTCTACTGGGCTGATTGACAATATTCAAATTGCGTTTTTCATGTCTCGGAAGCGCAAACTAGGATATGTATTAGATATATAGCACTGTTCTCTATAGGTATTTTGACACAAAATCGGACTTTTTCTGAAATGACATGCCAATTTTATTCCATATTTCAATTCTATGACTCAAATTATGCGTAAATATTAAATTTTGAGAAATTTGGTGCGAAATTTATGGAGAAATTTAAAACTTTATCTTGGCGGATTTTTTTCAATTTGCGGCAAGAATACTACTTAGCGAACTTCTTAATTTTTAGCAACCTATTTTCCTTTATTTTTTGTCATTGTAAACGAGGGGGAAAAAGGTTATGTTCATTACTTTCAAATAATTTTAACATAGTGCGTGAACCACATTTGCCATTATTATCGCTTGTAACGAATATGCCAAATTTCAAAGCATGACAGTGTGTAAATTCACATATATCTTAGGAAATTTTGAATAAAAAAACTCTTAATTTTTTTCAGGTGAGCCTAGAAATACATCTGTTTTTAAGATGATGTTAAAAAATTATAGGTCACAATACATTTTTTTTTCAAAAAATTAAAAAAAAAAGTATCTAAAAATAAATCCCAAAAAATGTTCAAATCATATTTGGACTAAGCCTAAATTTTGAATTCTGGAAGAACGAATCAAGTAAGTTTAATAAAAAAGAGGTATTAATAAATATGTATCAATTAACATTGATGAGCTAAAATTTTGAGAGCTGATTTTTTAAAATCTACTCGTACAATTTTTACAAAACTTCGTAGTTTGCCACAAGTTGATTCATAGAATCAAAATATGGGAAAAAATGGGGAAGTCATTTCAGAAAAAATTAGATATTGCGTCAGAATGCATATATTAGAACAATACTATATATACATATAATGCAAATCTAATACATATCCTAAGTCGCGCTTTCGAACATGTTGAATTTTGTCAATTGGCATAGTAGAATGGAAGATATAAAATTGTCTGCCCCCCCCCGCAATGTGTACATCGTGTTGTAAATATGCCGCCGAAATAAAAGTTTGTCATCTACTGTATGGAGATCTTTTTTACAGCTTGAACCCTATCACTGTGAGGTATTTATTGTAACTTGTCTACAATAAACAAATGGCTTATTTATATATAAATATTTTATATAAAATATTTAAATATACATATATTATTATACTTATATATTCATACATATATTATTTCAGACTTATTAAATGTTTTCTCATCTTCATGCAAAAATATGTTATGATACTTAGAATTACATTTTGACTGAGAACAATAATTTTTGGTTCTGCAGTTCCTTTTGAAACAAAGAAACCACCTATTAGAATCTTTAAAATTCCTTTTTCTTTCTTTCTGCCACATAACACATTTTCCCAAAATATGGTCTTCCCTTCCACAAAATAAACAAGAGCAGCTGCAATTCTGTTTACATTATGGGAATGAATAGTTAGGTTGGTGTTGAAAAAATAACAAGTGGGAAAATTGTTTTGTTTTTCATTAGGTGGAATAAAATGCTTTTCAGGGAAATTCACATAACTCTTAGAGTAAGGTAAACTTAATGAGGATCGTTCATATTTTTCGATTTCCCATTTTAGAAATTTTGCGAGGTCTTCAGTATTAAAGCTTCCTTCATCTGCTTTCTGATGAGCAAAATCAAGCGTTATATCCATAGGAATGCATTTCACTAATAAAGGATAAAGTTCTGTATGATTCAATTTTGATTTCGAATGAATTTAGCGACCTTACTTCTACGTTTCAGATATCATATAATTCACTTAAAGCATGATAATCATTCAAACCTCGAACAAGTTGTAAATTGAACAGTTTATGTATGTGCGAATTACTAAGGAAATCTTTTCAACCAAATCTTGCTTTAAGAATTTAAGCACTTTGGCATAATTCTCTCTCTGGAGATAAGGGAAATCATTCAACATTTTTTGTAGCTACACCTCCTAATATACTAAACAAATAATTGAACTTATCAACTTTACATAATGTTTCATTTTTGTTTATTGCCATATCAGAAGTATTATAAAAATTTTGTTGCTTTTCAGAATTTCCATAGGCAACATAACATTATAATCAGAACTTCTATTAACAATATCAGAAATAATAGATATGTTATAATTTTCATGTGAAGAACTATTAGAAACTAGTGGAATGTGCAGGCAAGCCTCCACTTTATTCACGCATCGTTTTTGTTAATCGTGACTGTGAAAAGACAATGCTTGAAGGGATTCCTCAACCGGTTTCTTCCTCTCTTCTGCTGTTGGAGTTAGGAGGCGAAGCACGGTTTTCTGGCCTGTTCCTTCCCTGCTGACGTCATGTGCCATTTTTCTTTTCTTCAAATGCTGCTTGAAAGAACCATGCAAATTTTTGTGAAATTAATTCACCTTGCCGATAAATGACTGATGCTCCAAATTTGTATAAGATTGCTGCTGCTATATATATATATATATATATATATTTTTTACTGTCTAGCAAGAAAGACACAAAAATGTTTTTACTGGTGTGTTCTTGTTCATCTACCTCATGGATCCACTTAATTTTAGTGTGCACATGCTTTTTCTAATGTTTGAAGAAATAGGTATGTCAACTGTTCTTGCTAGTTGACTACCCAAAAATTTAATGGTTGTACTTCTTCAGAACTATTTTTGGCTGATGGACAACGATTTATTTGTGCCGATGAGTTCAGCAGTATTA